CGTCACTTGCATTAGGTGTCTAATTACTTATTGGTAGTCAGTGTATAAGTACAAGTGAGCTATAGGTATGGTTCCACTCCAGTTTTGAGGAAGAACACCACCCAGAGGGCAATCCGAAGGTCTCCTATCCCTCTTCCCTAACTATCAACCTTTTGACTTACATGTATTTTGAATGCCAACTTACTGCACACACACTGTACACTTCTGTATTCAAATTTAGCCCATCCATCCATTCTTATTGCAGAAAACACATCACTTTCCAGAAAGACTGCCGAGTTTACTTTTCTCGTTACTTCTTCTGCACAGTCAATTCCTTTTTATAGCAGGCTCAATCATTCAAGTTTTCCCAGATGAATGCTTGACAAGTAAGAACATACACCTATGTCCATTCTCAGAATGATGGTTAACTGGTTAGCCAATTAGTTCATTTTTAACATGTTACATAGATCAGGATGCTTATTTTTTTGAAACATATATGTCTATACTTTTATCTTGCATCTGAATCAAAAGAGAGGTAACTATATTCTGAATTTATTCTATTTTTTTAGCTATTTTGTCAGAACAAAAGTCCTCATTGCACCTAACCAATTTTCACCATTTTTACATGATTGAGTGCATTCTCTTGGCTGTGTATGTATTAAATTATGCACTTTGTTAAAAACACATTTTGATGTTCTGACGTGTGCAATCTTGCATTTTATCTTGGCAATGTCTAGTTGCAAAAATTTAACAAGTTTAATCTGAAGTATATATAAATGGCTGTTTCGAAATATTTGTTTGTTTTTCAACATTGCATTTTTAAATACTGGTTAAACAACTTATAAAATTAGCCAAAAAAAGAGGCTAGGGAGAATTTTGGATTGGTACAGATTTTTAATACTCTATTGCTAAAGTTTTATTTAAAAATTTACACCTAATGCATTTATTATTATTGCTTAATTAAAAATTTTTCATGTGATAAAATAAGACGTGATTTACAAAGACTAAAACAGGCCCTAATATGCACTTGAGTTGACCACCACACATAATATAAGACAAGACCCACTTGAGTGCAATGTTTGAATATGTGTATAATGGATATTAACATGCATCTACTATCCATACTACGGTTTTATATGCTCATATTTAATATATCTTGTATTAAGGTTTCTATGAAGTGTTTACCTTATTTAAATTATATATTCTTATGGAAATTTTATTTAACTAAACAGAAATGATAACGTAACATATATGTAGCAAAAACCTGACAATTGAGCATTAAACTAACCAAAGTATTTTAGAAATTTTAATAAACAAGATATTTGTAACATTAATATTACTATTAACACATATACCTTGTTGCCAAACAGTATGATTTAGTGCCAATAATGGATAAGAATGATGTCACGACGCAATCATAAAAGTTCATTTTGTTTTAATGTAAACTCTATACATTCTTAATAAACTGGTTTAATTTTAACAAAGAAAGATGCAAGTTCTATTTTTTAACCTCATGTTTTGAAAAAATAAGTAGTATTTGGGATTGCACGAAATATTTTCAAAGTTACATCAAAATAGGCCACATGATGCGACTTTGAAAACAGATAAAAATGGCATCGTAATATGAAATATTAAACGAGATTTTATATGCTATATCCATAATTTGTATATCTTTATTATCTAACTAAATAAAGAATGATCCATTCATATAAACTTCTGCTGGAGTGATTTCCATTAAATTTCACATTCGGCAGGATTTCAGAATTGGATCCTATGTTTCATTTTCATTTTTAAAGCATACAAAATACATTAATAACAAACAAGATTATTGGTTTTAAAATTCTTGAGCAAAATCTTTCAATTCATTTCGCTTTTTTGATGCTAATTCAATTTCTTATATACTCAACTATTTGGAATTTTCATGTATCCAGAATTCTGCAATTCTATTTGAGCTTTCCGGTTAGTTGAGTTTTTGTTGTGTGTGTATATATATATATATATATAAGGTTTCTATATTTACTACCAATTACTTATATTTTTATTTATAACACTACAAAAGACAATGTTTTAAGTTCAATAATTCGTAAAGTTTATTTATAAAAGACGTTTAATAAGCATATTAAACAGCATACAATAGTCCATCTTCACATGACACTAGCTTTACATGCCATCACGTTCATATGTTAAACACTATACATACTATGAAAATTAATAAATAATTTACTAAATATACATAAATAAATAGGAACAGAAACATAAATCAAACTTCAGTACAGTTTTATAATTCCATTATAATACTGATCGAAATACTTAAAAGTGTCACTGAAATAGCTTAATTCAGCACTAAATATAATTTATGAATAAAACTTGTGATATGATGCAAGACAATCTACAGTTAAAGTAATACCAGAATTCTGAGTACTAGTAATTTTCAATAAAAAAATAAATCAAAACTATATATTTTTAAAAATGTATTTACAACCAAACAAAAACCTGCAAGTGACATAAAATAACAATTTTGTACATTTTTCAGAATCTATGATTCTGTTTTATTAAATCTTTATAAATATGTAATCTGAATATGTAATTTTTAAACTTAACGATGACAGCAACATAAAAACATTTTAATCCTTTTATGACTTTTTAAGCAAGAAATTCTATGCAAGTTTAATCAAAGGATGAAAAGAGATGAAGATAGTGACTAAACCATTAAGAGAAAAAATATGAACTATGTTCTTTAACAGTGATAAGGAACAATTCTTTAATCATATCTTGAAGTGATATTTACATGGCTTTGCACATAGCCAACATCAAACATGTAGAAACAATAAATTTTTTTAAGGATATAAATGATGAGATATTTTAATAAGAAACTATGCAATGAGTATACACATTTTGAAAATACCATGCACTTATTTTTTATAAATATATAAAGTACACAATCACATATATCAAAATTTTAATGCTTGGACCTGCAAAAAGATTTACTGCAACACACTAAAATATTTAAAAAAATATGCAAAAAATAACATTTGTTCAAACTTCTAAAGTGATATATCAAAAAGTTACAAAGGTGTAAAAAATTTTAATATAAAAACGCTTAACTAACAAACTATTTCTTTATATATAATCACAAAACGTGCTACAGAATTTTGAAAAAGAAAAGTACTTTTTGATGTAGAAATCATGAATTTTTAACCACTCTCTCTATATTATTCTAGCTGAAATGCATGCTATATATTAAACACTTTAATGTTTTTTGATCAAAAATAAATATTGTGAGTAAAGACAATTTGATGCTGCATAATAAATAAAATTTCAGCTTCGAATTATTGTGCATGAAGATTAAAAAGAAAACATAGATGTGGCATGGAACTGATAAAATATGCCAGTCAAACCAAACTATGGCAAGCAAACGTTTTGGTCCCATCTAATTTCCTATACACACTTATATGGCTTCAGCAAACTCCAAAATATATAAAAATAAGATATAATGAACTTTGTAAATACAGTCAAAAGTCGTTAATCCGGACTCGCCGGGACTTCGGCGATTCCGGATTATCGATCATCAGTTTAAATCTCGTAAGATGGCATGCAGAAATTCTAAAATTAAAAATATGAAACCGTAATTTATGAAATAGAGAACAATTATGATCTAAAGGGTATCAAAATTTGCAAAAAGAAAAAGCTTAATATTTATTTGTTTGCTGTATTAAACATTTCTTTCAATGTAAGTTGTTTATAAGTTTTGCTTCGTTTCATGTGATAACTTTTCTCTTTAATTCTATTAAACAGACATAATTTCTTGTTCAGTTACAAAGTTCGCCGCGTTCAAGTCCTATAATTGCTGTGTCAAGAACACCGACTAATTTGTCAATCGAAATTTTTTTGTTTTCAATAACCTCTGTCACTTTTCTTCGCTATCGGAAGCAAATTATAATGACGAGGAACTTGTTTTAAATCATATCAAAGACGGAGCATCGAGATGAAATACTACATTTGGTAAGGAATTATAAGCCAAATAAAATAAAAACATCTGCGCTGAAGAATAAGGATAGTGCTGACAAATCAACTTCCAATTCATTACGCGCCCGCCGCGAGCAGCGTGAAATTGATAAAAGATTTCGGATTTCAAAACATACTTTAGCTTTAGATCCTTTACATATTAACAAATATATATTGGAAATTCTATTTGATATAATCGAAAGTTTAAGCTTACTTTTATAAAATTGCTCTTACAGTCTGCAAAAAATATAATAAGCCGGATGCAATTCGAAATTAAGAACAACGCAATCATCAACATTGACTGAAATAGATATTAGATAATTTTAGCTTATACGTCCATTATACATAAAATGCGCACGCGAAAACGTATTCTGCACTTGCGCACACTCATATGCGTCGTAAAAGGTCTTACACGCACGCGTGAACACCTCTGCGCATGTGTCAACGTGGCGCATACGCAGAAAGTTTTTAGTTTTGATGTCCGGATTATAGATCATTCCGAATTATGGGTGTCCGAATTAACGACTTTTGACTGTATTTTAGACTCATTCCACCTCCCCACTTTTCAAACTTTTTTCGTAATTTCTATAGCTTTCGAATGAAAAAATAACTAACTCTTTAATTCCTCCTGTTTAAGGCATTAGAATAGAGAAAAACACCTTTAGATTACTGTTCTTTTATCTTCCCCCAGCTTTCTCCGAGTCCTAGAAAAAAGGCTATGTCAGGCAGGTGTAGCATTCAATTCTGAGGACAACAGGAAACACAATAAACATATCGTATGAAATCCTACTGTACTACACATGCAGACAAAAACCTTGAATCAGTTCCTTGATTTCACTCAAGTTCTTTAATGAAGCTGTCAGATAGCATTCTCTTCAAGGCTGATGCTTATTTATAATTGTAAATGTGTATTTTAGATGAAAATGTGCAATTGCAGGGATGGGCCAAAACCATGACTTTTTATACTAAGCAATTTTTTGTGTAAGATATTAACATAAGACACAGCTGCCAATTCTCCCAGTTTATATTTTTTTAGCCTTTACCAAGGAAAGTTTCTAAACAATAAATGAAATTTATGATACTTAAATTAGACAAATTCCATTCTCCCACATTATTTTCAAAATAATTTTTCTTATTTTTATGAAATTTCATTTGATCTTAGTTGTATTAATTTACTGCAGATATTGTAAATTTAAGATTCAAGCAATGTTTAAGTAATTAATATTTATATTTAATTTACTTAGTTTTATAAAAAATTAAAATCAGTTTGGAGTTTATTTGAAATGGTGGTGTGCAGCATGAAAACCTCAGTTTCTCCCAGTTTTAAGGTTTCAAGGTTGGTGGCAGCTATGGTATGGTGAATTTAAAAAACAAAGTCAGCATTAATATTTTTTGATTTAAAAAAAAGATAACACGATGGTATTCACTCTTTCTGTGCAGCACATTAATAAATTTTGCAATATTTTGTGAGATGACCCATTCCCCCCCCCTCTTATCAGATAAAGCGAATCAAACTTTTGGCCCACTAAAGCTCACTATAACGAGGTTTGATTGTATTATTAGATAAGTAATCTATGCTAAAGATAAGCATGATAATCATCACTTATTCATTTTCAGAGATATCTCTTATGTGTATCATGATCAAAATTTATATTTAGTCAGATTTACACTAAAAAGAAATTTTTGGATATAACAGATCATAAAAAAACTTTCTATTTTAAGGATGTTGAAGTTGTGTGCTTGATTTGTAGGATTACAGATATTCTTATTAAGCCATTTTTGCATTATGACATACATGCAATTAACGGAAATTTCACAGTAATCTCTACACAAGGGTCATCCTTACTTTAAATGGGAGGTTCATATCCTAAAAGTCTAGATTTCTGATGTTTTCTGACTTTACATGAAAATTCAATCAGAGTTTAGCCAGTAAATATTTGTATTTAATTTTATGTCAGGTATAGTATATTAATAAGCTTATCCACTTAATGATATATATATATATATATATTGAATTATTAAGTTTATTTTCGTGTTTAAAATTACATTGATAAATTAAATCTTTCCTTCCCTATTTAGGATTTTTTCAGTATAAAAGTGTAAGAAAATTACAAAATGAAATTAGTCAAAGAGCATAAAATTTAGAATACCTAAAGCATCAATATAAATAGTTGAATATCTTGAATTAATTGCAATGAAAGAGAATTTAAATCCATTTTGAGTGCTTCTAAAAATAAACAGCCGCGTTTATCACAAAAAACTATGAGTGTGTTTGTGATAAACGCAGGTTTTCATATTTGGAGGTTGTCGGATATAATTTTATATGAAATGAGAAATTTTATGCGGAAACGCAAAAAAAGTTCCTCATAAAATTTTCTTTTTGAATCACTTGTGAATCTCCTTCTGAAGCCATCTTTAATTTTTAACATCTGAGCTATGAAAAGCATTGATAATGCAATATATTTTAGATGAACAAAACATATAAAAATCTGCACACAACAGAATTTCCTTTTGGGGGGGGGAACTGCGATATTCAGATGAACAATTTTCAAAAACCTTTATATAAAGCAAAGAGTGCATCTAAGAAACTTTTCTTAGATCCATTCTAAGAAAACTTAAATATCATCAGAAATTATAAAGAGAGCACATGGTCAAGAATTCTGAATTTTTTTTTAGAAATATTAATAATGGCAGGTAAAAATTCATACTTGATTATGCCATTGCATCCAACACTTTTTTAAAAACCATGCAGAGGAATGAACCATAACACTTTTTAATCTCTGAATAAGTTAATAACTAAATTCAAGTCAAAAATTTATTTACTACTGTATTTAATATCATCTTCAATGAAAAAGCATATTTTATCAGTTTGTTCCAATTTTATCGGTGACAAAGCTGACCTTTTTTAAAAAATATGAAAAATTGATTATAAACTATAATACATAAAAATATGCATATAAAATTTTGATTCTGGATATAGAAAATTAATAGCAATATAGTACACAGAACATAAAATGCACATTTTTACATGAATTTTCATGAGAAATAAGACTTTCACAACAACTTAATTTTTAATATATTATATATATATACAGAAATATTTAAAAATATTAATTTCATGAACAGAAAAAAATTATTGGAAATAAATCAGATTTTGCTGATACTTTAAATATTTATATGCTAGGAAACATATGATAGCATAACAATATCACACGTCAAATAAAGAGTACTAGAAGTGAATTTTCCTTCAGAAAAACATGTTAGTTATAAATTACAAATGAAAAATTCATTTCTAGAATTTCTTTTAATTTTATTTCATTTCAAAGCCATTAATGTGTACACGTGAGTATGTGTACACGCTGTATACACGAGAATGTGCAACATGTGCAAGTTCATGTACATATGAGAATGTTTTAATGCAACAATGCTGCCGTTTATAAATGAAATGATACTCAATGTTAATTCATTATCACAAAAGTTGGTTTGTGAAACCAATTCACAACAATTATAATTTGAAATTTCTTAATTTGGCTTCCTAGCTGTATTCACATCATTATTTTAAGCTGCTTTCAAAAGCAGTTCGAGACTTAACTTCAACGCTTGACTAGAACACATTTGTTGATATATCTTTACATTTACATCTATGATATAAATTTCATACATTACTTGTCCTTTATCACTTGAAAGAAGCATCAGCTGATCAACAACAGGAGTTTATGTTTCAAAATGCTTATAAATAGATGTGACGTATGTCATTATAGACTGCCAATCTGGTCTTTCTTGTGAAATCAAGTCATTTATATTCTAGAATAAAATTATTAGTTAAACAAAGCAGAAATGCATATGTAGCCCCCAAAAATGTTTAAGTCTGTTACAAAATATTTTATAATTTATCATAAATTGCTTACCAAAGTTGTAGGTATTCCTGCTGATTCTGCTGCTTTGAACGCCAAAGTAAAATTCCTTTTCTAAATTTATTCAAAAATATAATAAAGAAAATAGAAGGAAAAGTATTTTCTAAGCAGCCTTTAGAAAAACAAATTACAATAATATACATAATAAGTGATTATAATTTAAGTGATGCTAAAATAAGTATATATATTAAAATACCTTAAAATATTACGATAAGCATCATTCAAATCACAAATCTGCAAAATCATTACTTTGAGGAAAAAAATTTAAATTTTGGCATCACTTTGTTTTCAGGAAAACCAAATTAAAAGACATATATATTACTTTTGACATTTTAATATCATAAAATATTACTTTTATAAAATTAAAAAAAAAATGCATATATACGAAAAGAGCAAAAATACAAATTAACAATTTTAAATTTGTGCCAACCACATATAAAGCAACCATATTAGTAAAAGTTTCAGATCTCATTGAGGCTAATTTAATATATATATATTATGGTAAAAGTAATAACTGGTTATTATGTATAATTACTGGTGATTATTCATAATCACCACTAAGTTTGGTAAATGTGATAAATTATTGAATATTTATCAAATTTTCCGATTTATTTATATAATCCTTTACTTGTAATGGAGAATGTAATAAATCCAGATTATTTTGTGGAGTAACGAAAACTTAATTTAAAAAATTAATATTTTCAAATAACAATAAAATTTGTTGTTAAGAAGTAGAACAATGTCTGGATCGCTAGTGAAACTTGAACAATATTTCAGTTTTAAAAATTAAATAAAAGTGGTGCTTTTGTACATTACTTTCACTAGATATTTTAGAACAGATATATTAGATAATAGCATATGCTATAAAAGGTACTGAAAAATACAAAATGAACCAAACTGCTATAAATAAAGTAAAGTCAAGCTTATTATTTCAGTAAATACATCATTCTTATCTAAACAAAACAGAACTTTCAATTAAATAATAACTAGTATTTTTAGATAACTTTTACATTATATCAAGTAAAAGACCTGAGTAAAGAAAACATTTTATAATTAGAACTCATACAAAATAGTTTTATATCAAAAGCAAACTAAACCAATATTCTAGAGAATAAAAGCATTTACTTATATTTACTTGCAAGTTTACTTATTTAGACACATTAGACTGTTATGACATTTAGAATTTTAAAGTTTGCTGCAAGATTTGCATTGTCCCTTGCAAACACGTCATTGATTCCCTGACCTCCTGAAAGTGATTGCTAGATCTGAAACATCGTCAAGCAAAATAAATTTTTTCACAAATTTTGAATTGATTTCTGGTATACCATTGTGAAAGCTTTTCTTTGTTTTGTTCATAACAGATAAAACTCTCTGTTTTGAACTTCTAATATCTCCGCTAATAAATTTTGTTGATCACTTCTTGCTCTGTCAACATTTGGTACTAATAGTTTCACTGTGTCACCAAACATTACCAGAAGAAAAATTTTAAGATTTGAAACTTTCAACATCTTTTTGCTTATGATTCTAAACTTTCTTTAGTACTCATTCTATGTTTTCTTATTTATTCTTGCCTGCTTAAAATATGTCTAGATAAAATGGACCACTGCTTCATCCTCTTTCTAAATCACAAAATTAACTGCAGATGGAGAGTCATTTAGCAATGGATCATTATTTTCCACCTTAGAATCAGCTTCTGTTTTCCTATTAGTGTTATCAGAAGCATTATTAACTGTTTCAATTAAAGCCTGAAGCGCTTCGGTTCTAAGATATTTGATACAGTCATTCAGGAAAGAAGACACTTTCAAACTTACTTTTGCAGGTGTCTCAGACATTGCTTCATAAAGAAAACATTTGATGCCTTCATGAAATGCCTTGCTTTTCATAAGTTGTATAAAGAGTAACCCTTCAAACCATTTACTAGTTTTATTGCTTTCCAACCAAGAACTTAGCGTATTTTCAACATCCTGATTTTTACACTCTGGCTGTGCCTGGGCTTCCCATGCAGATGATCTCGAACATCCTCAGTCGATGACAGATATGGGGATTGGGCAGACCAGGGATGGATGTCAGTGTGGTAGAGGCAGATCTGTGACATCCTTGCTGGTGGTGGCCTGTGTATGGATATTTTTTATTTCATGCCGGCTAAGTGTTTTCGCTATGCTGTCATATTTTATAAAATATTTAATAATGGCCAATATGCTTGAGCATTTTAATTTCAAGCTAGTTTTAAATGTTATGAACACTAAGGATGCAAACTGTGGTTTTCTAACGAAAGAAAGCTATGACGACTTATTAATAAAAGTGAGTAATGGCTAAAACCTGGGCTTCCCATGCACAGTTTTCAGTTCGCCTACAATTTTATTACTGACTCACAACCATTATCACTTTGAAGTATACTTGAACTTAGTTAAGTGGTCTCGATAGACAAATATAAATTTGAAATCAATATCTGGTTACGACTGCATGTCAGTTCTATCTGGCATCTTCAGTTCATTTCCTGAAAGACCATTGGCCTAACAATAAGTTTTTTCTTGGGTACTTTTGATTTCTTTTGACAACTTTCACACAAATTTAAGTAAATCATCACTACTTTGATAGTAATATTTAAAAAAATTTTTTTGAAAAACGTCTTTTAACATTCTATTTCTATCACCACGGCCTATTGATAAATGTGCCTCATGAATTTTGGTAAAAAGTTCTTTAAACGTACGTGTAAAATCTAACATTGCAGCTGTCTTCTCTTATGGGAAAGATAAGTTTTCAATATTGCCTACTTTCATTCCATTGTATCTTTTTAGTCTTTGATAATCTTTTGTTTTTTCACACTATTTTTGTTTTTGCCATTACTCACTTTTATTAATAAGTCGTCACAGCTTTCTTTCGTTAGAAAACCACAGTTTGCATCCTTAGTGTTCATAACATTAAAACTAGCTTGAAATTAAAATGCTCAAGCATATTGGCCATTATTAAATATTTTATAAAATATGACAGCATAGCGAAAAAACACTTAGCCGGCATGAAATAAAAAATATCCATACACAGGCCACCCCCAGCAAGGATGTCACAGATCTGCCTCTACCACACTGACATCCATCCCTGGTCTGAACAATCCCCATATCTGTCACCGACTGAGGATGTTCGAGATCATCTGGAATGGCAAGTTAGGCAGCTTAGGAGTTTGGTTGAGCTAGAAGTACCCTTACAGTACCTGTAGAGTGAGATGATGCAAAGACACCGTATGGGACATGAATGCCTCATTGCTCATTCATATTGCATCATGTATTTATGCTAGAGGTGGCTCAAAAGGTATTAGAACCTTCATTCATTTATCGTTTTTCCTGCAATAAATGATCCTTTAGTTTTGTAATCACTTACTCATACCAATGTTGCACTCACATATATAAAATTTCATAAACTCTAAGTGTGCAAATTTTTTATGGTCAAGAGTGCGTATTAATATGGCCTTATGAAACCTTAACATAGTTTGACTTTTGAAATAGAAGAATAATGCGATTCCATTTAGCAGCCTTGGTCTTGTGAGTATTTGGAAGGTTTAATACAAATTTGTTATGCTGTACAAAATGCAAAAAGAAAATTTAATTAGAAAATGCTCTCTAGTTAACCCTTTACAAATCCCCGCCAACAAAAATCAGGTGAAATAAGATCTGACAGGAGATCAGTCTTTCATACCTGATCATCACACAGGAAAGATCTCGCCAGGAATTGTGCAGTTAGCTAATAGTTAATTAGAATAAGTTAATATTGCTTAACATCCATATGGCAATAAATGTTGGGGGGGCGGGAACACACTTGTACCTCAGACTTTAATATAAACTTAATAGATTTCCTTGGCTGACTATATAAAAACAATATATTTTTATGATACATATATTACATATTTTTATAAAATATGAATTAATAATAATATAAATAAAAAATATGATTTTAGAAGTTTTTACTTTGTCTTTGCTGTCAAGTTCATCGTATGGAATAAGATTGGGTAAGTATGAGTGCATCAATGCACAAAATGCAAGACCATCATTCCAGCTGCTGCTAAAATTGGTGATATCAATACCCTAAAAACATTTAAAATTAGAATAATTCATCACTTAAAATTATATAATTTCACATAACAAAATGCTTATATATTGACATTTTCAGTTACATAAACATGTAATTTGATTTCAGAATTGGAAAGTGCAACAGCATATTCAAAGTATCCAGTTTCTTCTTTTAAGACAAAAGCTTGATACAGTACAAAGTCAGAGATCCGTACTCGTCAGGAATTTGGCGATTCCGGTTTTGGGATTTTTCCAGCTATTACATCATAAATTTAAATCTAGTAAGATGGCATGCAGAAATTATAAAATTAAAAATGTGAAATCGTGATTAATATTGAATAAGCATTTTTTTATCTAAAAGGTATCAAAATTTTCAAAAAAAAAAAAAAAAAGATTAATATTTATTTGTTTACTTTATTAAACATTTCTTTCAATGTAAGTTGTTTAAGTTGCTTCGTTTTTTGTGCTAATACTTTCTCTTGAATTCTATAAACAGACATAATTTTTTGTTCAGATACAAAGTTCCACTGTTCAAGTCCTGTAATTGCTGTGCTGAGAATTGACTAACTTGTCAATTGAAATTTTTTCATTTTCAATAACCCTCTGTCACTTTCTTTACTATCGGTAGCAGTAATTTCTGGATCTAGAACCAAACTACAGATTTTGCCGTCCGTTAATTGATTGATGATTGGGGCACTGTCATCGCAATGAAAAACTTCTGTTATATCATCTTCATTTATTACAGCCTTTCTACATTTCTTCACAAAATCCATTAATTGGAAAATTTCACCTTTTTAAAATATCCGAAAACCTTCAAATTCGCGGCTATAATCATCATCCTCACCATGAAGGGTGTAGCTGGCCAAAAATTATGCCAAGCATTTTTTAATGTATCTGGAGACACATCCTCTAACGATCTTTCAATGCTCCACACAGCAGATTTTATGCTAAAAAATTTCAAAAAGTCTTGCCATTGTTCAAGAAATTTAACATGGATTTTTAAAATGTTACTTTATATTTGCATTTCAGCATGTGCACTACTCCGATAGCCAATGGCTGAATTATGGACATATACTTTGGGGGACAGAATAAGACGGATGCATTATCTTTCACTAAAACTTTAAGTGAAGTATGAGCCAAACTGTTGCCTAGAATCAGGACAATTTTTGTGTCATCCGGTAAACCAAACAAATTCAATTGCTGCTGAGCCTCGGGTATAAAATAATTTTCAAACCAATTATTCATTAACACTTTTATTATTTGCATGATATATAATGAGGAAAATCGTTTTAAATGCTCGAGGTCGTCTATTTTTTCCGATTACGAAAAGTTTGCATTTGTGCATTCCTGCAGCATTTGGGCATGCTAGAATTATTAGTCTCACTTTGCAATCTTTGTAATAACCAGTTGAAGCCTTTTCTGTAGAGGTTGCCAAGGTATTTCGCGGTACATATTGCCAGAAAAGACCAGTTTCATCAACGCTGTAAATTTGTTCTGGAGATAATTGTTCACTAGTAATGAGTTCAATGAATTCATCTGTAAATTGTTCAGCAGCTTCAGTATCAGCTGAAGCTTTTTCACCTGAAATTTTGAATTGCCATATACCACAGCGATTTTTAAATTTTGGTTAATCAACCTGTCAAATATGTGCACTCAGTTTTTAAGTTTATTTCCTCATGAAATATTTTAGCTTGAGCAATTTTCTGTTATTCATTGCGAGCTAGTTGTCTAAATCCACAAAAAATTCAAAAAGTTCCTTTTTCTTACGTTACATTTCATTTGACTTTCCAATGCCATATTCATTGCATAATTTTGAGACGGTTATGCCTTTATCCATTTTTTTGCAGTAATTCCACCTTTTGTTTGATGGACATTGAAACATGCTTTTGCTTTGTAAATTCTGTTGCAGCTCCAGAATTAGAAACTCTTTTCGATGTAATAGAAAGTTCAAGCTTTAATTTTCATAAAATCATGTAATAATAACAGTTTGCAAAAAATAATAAGCTGGGTGAAATTAAAAGATTAAGGAACAGCGCAATCTGCTATATTAAGCAAAATTCCTTAGAATCAGAAAAGTATAATTTTAACCTAGCTTAATAGCGCCCGCTATACATTATTGGCTATGTAACATGAGACTGGCAACAAAAGGTAAGTTCTTCCATTAAATTTTGTCTTGCTTTTAACTCATACTGAGACGATAAAGCCTGAATTTTATTAGTTTAGTTATTTATTATACCTACGTCTATTTCTTGCACATGCTTATCACTTTCGCTGCCGTTCATGTAAGGTTATATTGATAGTTAATGCTGTGTCATAGAAACAGATTGTACCCACATGCCAACTTACTTATTATAAGTAATATGATTTAAAAGAGACAATAAAAGATTATTATGTGTACCACATTAATTACTAAGCCTTTAAGCATCCAATTATATAACTATGTGCCAACGCGTGATCGGCACTAGAGGGAAAATTACTTCTGCAATGCTGCATTATGCACTGGTGCATGGCATTTAAAATTGAATCAAAATAAGTAACAATATGCATTATTTTGTTGTGAAACTATATCACAAACAAATATATATTACAAATGAATTTATGCCAAGATAGTTACAATGATATTATTGTAATCTATATACTTCAGAATGTTCTTCGTGCATGATCTTTGCGCGAAATGAAATTTTGTATCCACTCCAAACCACATACATTTACAACCACTTTCTAACCTTCACTCCACGCCAATACCAAAATATATATTCAAAGTGTAATGCCGCTTGAACATTAAAATAAACAATGAGACGTTGCTTTTCCCGCACAAGTACGTGACTGGCACCTGAGACATAACCCCATACCACGCACAAGAGCATGATTGGCTCTTCAGCAATGATGCCAGTCACGCATCAGTGCGTGATCAGCAGCAAACGTGTTAACGCTAATTTGAATCCCGAATAAATAAATTCCCACATATACTCAAGGCTTATCGAGAGCCAGCGCTTGATACTGCTGGATGCAGTTTTTATCGGTTCTAAATTCTGCTACAAAGTGCTTCCAATAAGTTCTAAAATTTTGCCGCCGCTAAACTTTGGATTTCAATACTTTCCCTGAATTACAAAAATCTTGTCATACCTTAATTTTGCCGCTCGGTTCATCTCTGAATTCCAAAAATTTTGTCTTCCCTAAATTCTGCCACTCGGTGTGGCCCTACGAGCTCTGACGCTGGTTCTGGTTTTATGTGAATAACATATCAGTTATTCTTAATTAAAATAGCACTAAATGTAATCTTTTGGCCTATGACTTTCATTAACAGAATCTATTTTTAGCATATGAAAAGATTTTTTTGTTAAATTTTTCCAGCCAACATTTCTTAGTGCACTTAACTTAAATCTAATCATTGCGAAATGTAATGTCAGTATAACAGGTTGCCATGCTATTTGTTATTCAATTACTAATGTAAAAACAAAATGTTTAGACATTGCCGCATGAGTCATTACCCAAGTTGTCATCTTGATAAATATGCGGTGACAAAAGCAAAATATAACAAAGATTCATCAAGGTGACATCGGGGATATAAAATACTAGTAGGTATAATATCAATGATGTTCCTTTGTAGAATGTTTCGGTTTGAGATGTATGGCAAGCAGATATGCAGCTGCAGAGCCAAATTATTGATTGCACAAATTTATGGTAAAATGATTGTTTCTTCAGTAATTTCAATAGCGAGATATTTTATTTAGTGCTTAAGTGAAATTAAAAATTAGGACTCTTCACGTTTTATTATGGAAGGAAAAAATCAAATGCGCATGCATAAAGCATACTTTGAAAAAAAAAAAAAAAAAAAAAAAAAAAAAAAAAAGTTGCTTGTGGCTTTGAGGTCCAGATTTTAGATCATTCTGGATATTGGACGTCCGGATCTTAGACTTTTTACTGTATTAAATTATTACAATTTTTTCAATTTCTTCATCAATTTAGATAATATAGAGGACAATACAATAAGTTTAATTTTTATATTAACTGTACTGCAGGGTGCAGTAGAAAGAACACCTAAATTTTGAAGAGCATAGTTGTGATTTTAGAGGAGGTACTGTGGGAAACATATTGTCAAATATGGACTTAACATGCCATTTCAAAAGATGTGATAACTTCTTAAGAAGTTAAGATAAGGAGAACATCATGCTTTCGTTGTACAGCAGTTTATTCACAATTGTGGGTCACCAAAGCAATGAAGAGTGCCTTTCACATTCACTTCTCGATCAAGGTAACCCTCTTTCTGACAAATAAAAAAAAAGTTTGTGTCCAACTTTTTAAACTCTACAGAAGGTGATACAACAGAAAACTGTTGTCATTATGCACAAAATGACTCTAAAAGTCCAGAATAACCATCGAGAAAGACCAAATCAGTGCATTAATAATGCAAGTCGTGGTTTTTAAATTGGCATTATGCAGACTTTCAAAGCACAAAAAGAAAATTTTCATATCTCATTTGGTTTTCATTTTATTAGCTTCCAAAATCAGAGAGTTCTTTCTGCTGCATCCTGCTTAAGAAAAGTAAAGAAAAATTATGTATTTAGTTTAAGAACTGATCTTAATAAAAATCGGTATCACAGTTTTATTTTAGTTGAAGTATTAAATAGAAAAATCTGAACAGAGAAATAATATGAGTATTTATTAAAACAATTCCATCGTATAATTTTGTCAAGAAGAGGTATTTCAAAATGGGCAGAAGCCGTTTTTATTGAAATAAAATATAAGCCAAAATGTAAAATCCTTTTTCTTGCACTACAGTAAATATGCAATTCACATGTAGTTACAACTAATTAATTATATTTTTTAAATATCTGGATGAATTGTGATTCTACATAATATTCATATTTGGAATTCTGTATACATAACTGATATTTTATAAAATTAACAAATTTTATTATTCTAGCTCATAATATACATGCAAGGCTCCAGCCTTGCATAATGCAAAAATCAAAGAAAATAAAATTAGCAACAATAAAAAATATAGAGAGAATGAAACTTTCTCAATATCTTTAAATAACTTTAATTATTCATTTAAAGCAAATGAAATTAATATTAATTATTCATATTTAATTATTCATTTAAAGCAAATGAAATTAATATTAATTATTCATATTTAATTATTCATTTAAAGCAAATGAAATTAACAGAGGATAATTTTCAACACAGCTTGGAAGGTTTTAAGAAAATCTTTATACATGTGTCCCTACCAGTTACAGCTCGTACATGCTGTCACGTCGTTGATAGCTCACACAAACACAAATTTATAAATCCTAAAGTGGACTGTATCCATTCTTTTTACCTTTATTCACTTATTTGAATGATATACATTTAATTTTAATTATACATAGAGCACTCGTATCTTATGTATTACCTACAACTACTAGGGATCACGCCAGTAATTAACATTGTAATTTTACATAATAATGCTTAATCATAAGAATTTTTAAAAAACTGGATAGAAATATCCATATTAAATATAGCATGAAGAGAATTTTAAATAATTTAAAAATTCACACATTATATACAGTGGTGGCCAAAATTGTGGACACTTTAGGAAATTTGTTTTTGAACTTTGTATGCTTATAGAAAACGTTATGTTTCACAAAATGCAAACTTGTATATATCATTTAAAGAGAATTTATTACTGAATTCAATACAAAACACAAAATTCAATTATTTGCAATACAAAAAAAGTTAAACAATAATAGTTATCGATATACATTAGATAGTGATGATTGCAGTGATCAGTACTTAGTAGAGTACCCTTTATTTTTTATTACAACTTCACATCGACGTTTCATTGAGCTGACAAGAGTTTTAAGCTCTTCTTTCGTTATTACATGATGCCAGGAAACAATTATAGCCTCAATTAGTTCCCTTTTATTTGATGGGCGCCTCATTCGGACAAGAGTTTTCAAACGGTGCCACAAATTTTCGATAGGATTGAGGTCAGGACTGTTTCCAGGCCATGACAACAATTTAATGCTCTTTGTACAAAACCATTCTTTTGATATTTTGGCCGTGTGACAAGGAGCAGAATCCTGCTGAAAAATAAACGAAGCATTCTTGGGTAAGATATCTCTGATGGAAGGTAGAAGCTTTGGTTCTAGAATAGTGTCAATGTATTTTCTGGCATTCAGTGTCCCATCGATGACATGAAGGCGACCAATACCATCTGCTGACATGCATGACCAAATCATAACACTAACTGGGTTCTTCACAGTTGCTTGAATGCAGTCAGGATGTAGCTCTTCTCCTATTCTACGTCTTGCATATTTTCGCCCACCACTAACGAATAAGTTTCATCACTCCATATAACTTGTGACCACTGATCATCTATCCAATTAATGTGTTTCTTTGCCCACTGTAGTCTTTTTTTTCATTGCTGAAAATTAAGATAAGGCTTTTTTCATGGAATTCTACCTCTCAGTTCAAAATCTGTTAATCTTCTCCTTATTGTTCTTGAACTGACAGAAATACCAACATCATTCAGATCACTTCCGATGGCCACTGATGACGTTTTTCTATCTTGGAGACATATTCTTTTTATTCTTCTGTCATCAATAGATGTGGTGCACCTTTTTCGACCTTTTCCTTCTATGTTTTTTATTGAATTTGTCTCCTGATATTGTAAACAAAACTTTCAGACTCCAGATGTAGTCACTGAACCACCCACCTGTCTTGCAATTTCAGCATTACATCTCTTTCTAGGTGTCCAATCTACTCTTTTATTTGATGTCATTGCTTCTTGACTAAATATTAAAAATTTTTACAAAAATTCCTACTTTTAATTGCAGTGTATAAGAAACAGGTCCTCCTTCTACAGAACAAAGCAAAATAATGAATTGTTTCAACATAACAACATTTGATTGGTTCTCAGAACAAGAACAGTGATTGGCCAGGAAAGCTAGACATTACAAACCACTTCATAACTGTGTTTTTTATTTATACTAAAGTACATATAACTTTTTTTTGTATTGCAAATAATTGAATTTTGTGTTTTGTATTGAATTCAGTAATAAATTCTCTTTAAAATGATATATACAAGTTTGCATTTTGCGAAACGTAACATTTTCTACAAGCATACAAAGTTCAAAAACATAAAAATTTCCAAAAGTGTCCACAATTTTGGCCACCACTTATATATGTATATATGTATGTATGTATGTATGTATGTATGTGTGTATGTGTGTATACGCTCATATTGCTAATGAAAAAGGAGTATAACATAAAAATTCATGAATTTTTAACTAGTTATGTTATTTGTAATTAAACCGATTCATTATCATAGTGCATTTGATTTTTGCTCTTTATTCTACATCAAATGTATAAAAATTCAACACAATAAATAAAAATCAAACAAACCTTGTAACCTAATGTTTTATTTTGACACCATTTTAACAGAGCATTACGTTTTGAGCCTCCACCTTTGACAAGAGATGCTAAAGGATCTTTTTTCTCAATATCTCTGAAAATATATAATTTAAAATAATCACATACAAAAACAACTAATATAGAAAAAATGCATTACAAAAGTTATGCACTTTAAAAAGAAGATTCTGAAAATACTGTAAAACCTAAATATATAGGTCAGTGGTAATGTTCCGTGAAATCTTGGAATTTCAAGCAACTTCTTTAAAGATTCCACAAGTCAAAAAATTAAAAAGAATTTTAGATTACCATATGAACTGCAAAATTAACCGTCTACAATAATTAATTAATTTTTTTCTGTTACTTATAATAATATGCAGTGAATCTGTTTTTATGAGTAAAATTATAATGAAATTGATTTTTTTCTCATTTTTCAAATAAAGTACACACGACATTAATATATTTTAAATGCTTTTTTTTTCATTTATTTATTGTTATTTTTTTATTTAACTTTTCTGAAAACAGCAGAGCATAAACATACAGTTTTTGGTGTTTCTTGAGTAGGAAAGTTTGAAGACAACTCATATATAAGATAATGTTGAAAATGAAATGTCAAAAAGCATTAACTACAAAATCCCGTTTTTCAGACAAAATTAATCAAAGCTGTATGTAACACTAGGTGCTATGCATACTATGCCAAATACCTGCATAATTCTCAGATTCATATTCATATTTATAAGTTGTTAGAATTACATAGCTTTTTATGCTAATGAAGTGCTGATGTGTAAGTAAAGTAATTTTATGCTAATGCGTAAGTAAAAAAATCCAAGTCTCTGAAGAAACAAAATTTTGTAGTTAATATTTTTTAAGTTAATCAATAAATTAAACTGAAATCATTTACTCAAAGAAATGTATAAATGATAACATGAAAACAACTAACAAGAAGCATGAGGGGAAAAAAAAAAAAAAAAAAAAAAAACTGAAATGTTTCAGATTTTAAATTACGTCCAAAGGGGCGTTTTTTTAACGTTTTGAGTGTTACCTTTATTTATTATTAATATCATGTTCTTTGCACTTAAACCATAAAATTCAGTTCAAGAGCAATATCGCAAATAATGTTAAATTAAGCATATCTTTAGAATTTCCGATATACACATCTCGCTATCTGGAGATAAAAGTATTTTTTTTCTATATAACATTGCCATTTCTCGCTTTTAAAGCATTGAGTTTGTAAATCAAAATTCGTTAAAGTTTTTACAAAATATAAAATCTATATAAAACAAAAATTCCAAATTTGGGGATTTCAGATGGCCATATTCGCAGTAGGATTTCGTCATTCAAAATTCGATGGCTCTATGTACCATTGGTTTTATCACAATGCGAGAAATAGACAATCATTTATGCAGATTTTTTCATTATTTAATTTCTTCAAATATAATGCAGGACTCTAACATTTTGTGGCAACAGTTTGAAAAGTGAACCGACGTTTATGAGTCCGATGCAAAATCGCAAAACGAAAACAATAGTCCTTCAGGGACAAAGCCCCTTTGGACTAAAAAACTAATCTTTTTGAATTATTGCTATTCCTTCATTAAACTGCATATTATGGTCAATTTTTTAAATTACTGGATGTTTTCAATCTTTCAATTAAGAAATATATATATATATTTCTTAATTGATATATATAATAATTAATATATATAATAATTGATATATATATGGTGTGTGTGTGTAAAATATAAAATATAGAATAAAATTATTAAACTTAATTGGAATAAATTTGCAACAGACCTTTAAATTCATAAATTTTAATTAGATACATCCCCATTTCAAAGATGTGCTTTGCACCATTTTGCATAACTCCACAGCATGTCACATCACTCTTTCTCTGAAAAATGAAATCTTTAGCCCATTCGCTGCTCGGAGTTAACACAAAGATTTTCTGGTAATAAATATGATTGCTGTTACTATGCATTACTTTTTCTCATCTGCTGCTGCTTGAGTAAACCACATCTCTCACTTTGCTTTCTTTCTTAACTGTCTAAAATGTAAATTGTGTTTGTCGAAATTGTAGGCTGCATTTAGCATCCCTAATGTGGCACCGACTTAAGCAAAAGTGTACTTCTGAATAATTGTTCCTATTCAAAATGAAAATGATGTTTTAACCATCAAGCTAGTTGTGATTTTAGCAGCAGTCTTCTTGGCCGTAGCTAAATGAATTGTTTTCATATTCTGCAAAAAAGGACATCACACACACATGTATATATATATATATATATTTACTGCTATATGACACCAATCAGAAATAAGTTGGGCACTATGATTTATATATATATATAAATCATAGTGCCCAACTTATTTCTGATTGGTGTCATATAGCAGTAAATTTTATGTAACAATGACACTATTTCAGGAAGAGTAGCAGTTTGGAGGAATACACTGAAAATATGAAAGGGAGGACTGTGCATCTTAAGAATAGCATTATGTGGAAATCCAGGTGTCTACAATATTCTGCTTTCAAAAACTAAAATTTTGAATACTTAGATTCAAAGTTTTCTGTTTTTGAAAAATATCTGGTTATCCACAAAAAAAAAAAAAAAAAAAAAAAAAAAAAAAAAAAAAATCAGGATTTATTTTTAGGATTGAACACAGATCTTAATTTTATTTCACTTATTCCTAAACTTACTGTGCAGAATAATTCTTTTAAAATAATAATTAAAAAAGTAAACTGAGCAAGATAATTTCAAAATCTACTTTTCTTATTCCATTCCATGCATTTACTGGGTGTCAGAATGTCACACTCTCTATTTTTTTAATTCAACTTATGCATTTCAAAAGCTATGCACAATTAAAAATTTTTAATACTTTAATAATAAAAAATTTTTAATACTTTAGTAATACTTTGTCTAAACTAAGATTTGCATATGATTCAACATTCCAGATATTTTTGCTTATACCATACAATATACTTAAAACTGGAAGTTGTTATTTCAGATCATATATAAGGGATACACATAATTACCATTTTCTATCATTTTTAGCTTACATTTTATCATCAATTGTAGTGCTTTGATTTCTACAGTAAGAGAAAATAAAGGATCTTTTACAGCAGTGGTCTCAAATTGGTGGCCCACAATCCACTTGCAGTTCTCAAAGCAATTTTATGAGGCCTGCACCTACATTTTAATTTTACATTTGTTGCAAAAATTACAAGATTTTAGTCATTTGAAGTCTGAATTTACATTTATTTACATTACCATTATAAACAAACATGAATAATGCACCCAAAAATCTATAAATGGAGTTAATTTACAGTGTGATATGAATCTTATTCAAAGATTTGAAGATATAGATTTTATTAACTTATTCGTAGTTGTCAAAAAATAAATAAGCCAAGTCACAAATTTTGGCTGTAAATTTTGTTTGGAATACATTTGTTGTTTTCTGAGAAAGGCACAATCAAATGTTTATAAAATTTGTGGAACCCCTGTTACTGAATCTTTGCTTTAGAGTTGAGCTGCATTAAAATTCTGTTAATTCCATCTCTAAATGGGCTAAATGTTTTTGTAAAGAGACCATCTCAACAGTCCTTTATAGCACCTGAGATTGTAGTTAAACTTTGATATCCAGTGAAATTCCAATTTTTGTTATTACATTATACATGATTCGTACACATTTCTGCACATGGAAATACATTTAAGTATTTTTAAGGACCATTAAGGGAAAAAAATTAAGGATCTATCAGCAAATAGGAACTGAATAAATTCAATTAAAGATATTATCTATGCCTGAATTTCACCTCTGTAATACCATACTAAATATAAAATAGATCCGTAAGTAGGGAAGCATTATTATTAAACAAATTTGAGAATAAAACCAAATTCATAAAATTTATTAAGCAGCATTAAATATTTACATTTATAGTAGATAAACATATTTGAAAGAAGATTAGTGATACTTTATTTATGTTTTAATAACAGTTAGCTTGATGTTGATTTTTTCTTTTATGTCTCATTTTGTCACATACTTGTCCAGTCTAGAGGTTTAATAAATAATAAGTAGATTTTATGTCAAACGGCACAGGTTAAAATGAAAAACAAAATCGCAATCAGCATGATTCGTAACAGATGACTGGCTGTTGCCACCACTGCTGCTTGCCTATACAGAGACCTGCTGATCAGAACAAACCTGAAAGCCTGATGTAGAAACAGTTGGCAAGTTTTGAAAGATAGTTGTGTTCTGTCTGATTGGTACAATTAAGGCACGTCTACACAAAGCGATTTTCTCGGCCGACTTTCTTGTAGAGCAACAATTTTAAGGATCTGCGCATGCGCCAAAAATCGGTCATGCTCTCTGCCGCAATTTCAGAACTGGTGTTCACTGCTCACTAGCGTATGACAAAATCGGAGTCTCTAGCCAATAAGATTGCTTTGAGTGATCACGTGCTTTTCTCGTCATTTGGAATAATAAACATGGCTGCATTTCGTTGGAGCAAAACTCAACTAATAGATTTCTATAGAGAAAATGCTGTGTTGTGGGATACGAGTAATGTAAATTTTAAAAATAAAAAATTAAGGGATTCACTTATTTTGGTAAACTTTGTCTTCCCCATTACTTTATATATTCAAATATTTTCTATTCGAGGTGAAAATTATTTTAACTCCCCCAAGAAAAGTTCCAAAAACTATTAACGATGCCATGTCATGGGTACTAGATGAAAATATTCAGAAACTACTTGAAACTGTGGTGCACTTATTGAAAAAATTCAAAAAGCAAAATGTCCAGTCGGGAAATAAAGCAGCGCAGAGACTCAATTGACTTCGCCGAAAGTGGGAGTTAATTAAGTGATGAAGTACATAGCTTTTCCGACTCCTTCTACACGAGTGATCATAGTTCAGTGGTAAAGAGTAGATAAGGTTTTTCTTCGTACGTCGAGATCATGGGTTCGATCCTCCACCTTAATTTTGGACTTTCTGCACCTGAAAGAACTTTTTAATTTCGTTTCTCCATTACTAAATTCGAATTGCATGACTTAAAAGTCATGTTTTATTTTTTTGGGTGGGGTGTTTATTGAATTTTAATGTCTTTCTTTTTTTTTTTCCGAATGGCCGTTGGCACGTGTTTTAGATCTACTGGTCAAAAGAAAGTCACAAATCACAAACTCAGTTTTGTGTTAATTGAGTTTTGCAAAAGCAAATTACAGCCCAATTTAATACAATATTGCTAAATTTTATTCGCTGATTAACTAATAGAGTCATAGGATCATAGTTTTCAGATTGTATTAGTTATTTAATTATGCCGATATTAGTTTTTTAATGTTCAATAAATCTACTACTTAAGACTTTGCACCTTTATGATATTTCTTATTTAAAATGTTTGCACTGAAATTACACTGTTGCTTTGTAATGTAGTAATCTTTATTTTTTATTACTACTTTTTACTCATATTGGTTTGATATTCATGACGTTATTGTCTATTTATTCATTAATAAAGGTTTTGATTTAAAACACAGCAGTTACTTATTTTTTCTGAAACATGGTTATTTTATAACTTTATTATTTCAAGATTTAAACGCACAAATAGAAGTGCCGGAAAGTAAAATTTAAAAATAAATAAATAAAATAAAATAAGGAGTAATCCGCGTACTCAGTACACAAAGGAAAAGAATATATTTTTTAAATTTTCCTGTAAACTAAATTTAGCAAAAAATCAAAATCACGCGGCATCATCCGTAAATACTTTTCAAATTGTACTATCTTCAATACGCAACTCCCGGAGCAGGGTATTATGAAGGCACTATGAATTTCTGGTCGTTTGACCCAATTTCTGGTCTAAACGCATTCCCCCCCCCTTCTGTAGCAATAGCTAAGTTTGAAATTGTAACTGTACTTAATAGTAGCAATTGAAAATTGTCATCCATTATTTTGACTATTTGACAACACCGTAAGCTTTGTTTACAAATCGTAGACAGTGTGATGCTGTAGAGGGCGGGAACACTTCCTTTCACAGTGATTGGCTGAGTGAATTCCTGTGCTAACGACAAAATCGTTCCGTGTGGACAGGCGAGCTATCTCAGATATTGTCGGCCAGCTAAGTCGGTCGAGAAAATCGCTACGTGTAGACGGGCCTTTAGAGTCATACCTTTGTGTAGAGTTTCTAAGTTTGTAACCAAGTTAATATACTTTAAGGTTACAATAAGCCACTACAGCAACAGAGGTGATAAGTTATTTTGTATTATTTTAAGTCACACTAGATGCAAAGAATAAGTTTCACATTAATTTTTACATTTTTGCCCTGTACTTGTGACCACATTAAGGATTAATGAAAGCAATAATTCACTTTTCCATGCTTGTGTCTAGTGAAAAATAGAGAAAATAAATGGAAGATAAACATGTTAAGAAAAAGACTTCTAGTATCAGAAGTACAAGATTCAAATATTATGTTTTCATTCCCCTTCCAAAAATTAAGAAATTCATTACAAACTTTCTGTAAAATACATTCATTACGTGTTAATACCATGAAGAAATTTTTCATTTAGTCACATTTTTCTGCAATCTTCTAGAATTGTGAATCCATAAATTTTGCCTTCAAATCCTTCTAAACTTTCGAAATTGCAATGTCTAAACTCTTATGGAAAAATTACTCCTATCATTTCTGTAAAAGCAAAAAGCTAGAAATAACTTTTTTTGGGGAAAAAAGAAATCATTTTAAAGAGAAAAACTGATCCACAATCTGAGAATTATGAATATTCTAATTCTAATGGGGGGGAACTCTTACCAAGAAAAAATTTAAAAAAGGAAGACATTTTTAATTAATTGCAAAGCTATTTTGCTTTTGCTAAAAAAATTGTTTCATAAATTGTGGTTTATAGCATTTATTACCTTTTTTTATTTTTCAAATTCAAAATATTGTATAAGAATAAGTCGCCAAAATGGAAAGTAATGTCACTTTATAATATGACAGTGAAAAATAGAAATGTTTTATTTTATGTTATTTCTTAAATATAATTTCAATACATTAGCATTAATTGAATGAAATTTATAAATTTTATAATGTTTTTTAAAAAAATCGACGAAAACTTCTCAGATTTCTGAATTGAAAATTTTCTACAGAAATCTTAAAATCACCAAAATGTTGATAAATCATCAAATTTAGAACTGTTTAATAAAAGAATTCACATCCCCAAAAGTAAAAAGTTGTTTAAAAACTCTTCATTAAAAAAATGGAATAATTTCAAAGTGCTTATGTTTCCTTCTTGCCCAGATACTCAAATATCCCACCATTTATATTAGAAAAAGGAACAAATTATAACCCATGAACCCTTTCATTCATTCAAAAGCTAATCATATTTGTCAATGAATTGCCAAAAATATTTCTCAAAATGCTACTTCACACTCAAAATGGCAGTTGTAAAAATAGACAGAAATTGCAAATGATTAAAGTTAGGATCTCCTGCCAAATAGGAAGGAGAAAAATTAAAAACTTTTAAGGACGAAAAATCGGTTAAAAAAAAAAAAAAAAAAAAAAAAAAAAAAAAAAAAAAAAAAAAAAACCCCCAGGACCTTTAAGACTATAATGGATTGCGAGTCACATTGATTGCTTATTATACTTGCCCTACACATATGTCATCATACACATGACTACAGTAAATGGATCACATTCCTTTTTTTTTTCCATTTCTAAAGAATACAAATAAATTTTGAAAACAAATTGCACATATATATTAAGATATTCAATATTTACCCATAGCTGTTTCTTCTCATTGGATCTAACTTATTGGCAAGAATAGACACTGGATGAGGAGCTAAAGGTTTCAGCGTATCAGCATCCACTTTATTGCTCGTCACAGCCGCTTGGTCTCCAGTTATCTGGCCATTGCTTGTTGTAGTATGGCATATGTTTTCCGAACTGGCATTTTTAGGAAGCCTTACAAGCTGAGCAGATGCATTAGTATCCTTTGACAATGAATCTGTTGCAACACGAAGGGAAGGCTGCAATTAAAAAAAGAATTTAAATATACACGTTTGATATGTAGCTACTTAATTAAGAATCATTCCTAATAAAGATAAGTTGCCTTTTTGAAATTTTCATAGCTGGTACATTACTTAAACACTTCCCTAATTAAAAAAAATTATGAAGTCAATCCAATGACAAAACAGAAGGTATTAGTACTGGTATTTCTGTTCTTCCCTTTTTTACTTGAAAAATCTATTAAGCACCTATTTAAAACTTAACAAAAATCAGTTTTATCATGTTGATCAATAAAAAATTTATTGTTTACTGCAACAAAATTATCAAAGAAAGCAGAGGAAATATGGACACAAAAGGAATGATGTAGAATTGATTGTAAATGTAACTAATTCTGTATATTACCATTCAAATATTTTCTGAATAAATTTCCAACAATTTTTACTTTGATTAATCAGAAGTTTTCATATGCATTTTTAAAATGATACATGAATAGGATTTTTGAAGTATAGAAAAGATACTTTAGAGGGGGGATATATTAATTCAGTGAACCAGATCATGTGCATAGTTTATTTTGCTTGAAACAGGGATATGTTATACGTTGAGGCAAATAAAATATAGTATCATTACATAAATTCCTTCCCCCACTCCCAAAGAAATTTTGTATTTAGTTTATGCAAATAATAATAATATTTCAATATTTTAACTGGATAGTATCAGTTTAAATAAAATACAATTATATACACATTGGTCACTTCCACACATACATTACTGGAAATATACAAATTCGGTGATTGAAAATGTCGTGCGCAATGGGCTTATGTTGGAATTCCGGTGTGGAGTGTTGCTTAAAGTGAATATGGTTTCTGAGAGTGATCAGTATTCAGTAATCATGGCTCAAAGGCATCATTTAAGTGAAGTTCAAAAATGGCGAATAATTGGCAGAATCGAGGGAAGTCAAACACAAATGGAGGTCGCCAAAGATTTGAATATTCCTCAAAGTGTCATATCAAGAGCTTGAAGCCTCTTTTTAAGCACTAGATCAGTTCATAAATAAGGTTGACCAAAAGCAATAGCTGCATCAGAAGACCCATTTTCTGTGATTGTTGGCTCGATGAAACTACGAAGCGACTACAAGATTTGGTTTTAAACCTTCAGGGTGTGACAGGAACTGAAATTAGCCATTCTACTGCCGTATGAAGGTTAGATCGTATGCGAGAAAATCAATCATTTGTGTCCCACTCACTCCAGCTTCCAAAGGTGCCTGTTTAACAAGGTCAGGACGGCTTCGGTAGCTCACACGCGAATGGTTTATCAAGTACCACTGGTGGCTCACACACAAATGGTTTATCTGGCTGCATGTACCACAGGTAGCTTACATGCAAATGGTTCATCTGCTGACATGTACCACCAGTAGCTCATATCAGCTATAGTTTTATAACACGGTTTTGTTAGATGGAATATTTAACTACTATATCATATTATACTTCTTTGCTAGACCCATAGTATGCCAATAATTTTTTTTTTTTTCCTCCTATCTTTAACAGGCATTTAGGATTGTTGGTGTTTTCTGGTGGTGGATAAAAAAACTATTTTCAACAACAATGTTGGATTGTTCAGCATAACTACTTGTTTCACTCACTATTAATTCTAGAACATTGCCTGACAAAAATAACTGGTACAACGAAAAAGGATCATCACAATTAACATTTTCATGTAAAAATTTCTCATCTTCCATATGTTGACATATCACACTGCTTATTCCTCTGATCTGCTGCCATTCTGTTTCCTCATCACTTTCTTCCGAATCAGCTTCTAAAAACTCTGGCATCATAGTATATTTATCAGATGCCCTAAACGAGTCACTTTTTTCCAAATCATAAGTGTCATTGTTACTCTCCTCTGAAGAAGATGAAAGTATAATCTGCCTGATATTTGTCTGTGGAACACAATTGTGGACTCCTCTGACGAGTCATCTATTATCATAAAATCCATTTCTTCTATTTTCTAGGGATTGAAAATTCTAATATATCACAAATATTACCGGCTATGTCTTATAATTCTGCTTACCAGAAGAAATCAACTTTTATTTTTTTTAAATTTCATAATCTTGCGTAGAAAATGAAAAACAAAGTTACACACCAACATCAGTTTACTATCTATTAGTAATCCATAAAGAATGAAGAATTATTCATCAAACTCAACTTTATATTTACATAACTAACTAAGTGCAAGTGCTTCCAAATACAGAACAACAGGAAAAGAAATTCCTCTTGTAAAGAGCGCTGCATATACTAAACGTATAGTAAAAGGAAACTATGCTTTTGCATCTGAAGTTTTGCTACACAACATTGTGTGCAAGGTGCCGTCAGGTAAAACAAAGTCTTATTTTTACCGCGGTCCGCTAACGCGATATAGCAAAATCTGTGCCATCCTCAACATGTTAAACTGTTGCCATCATCATGTTAGACATATCCAAAATTATGAAATTATTCTGAAATTATTTTTTTGATAAGCTTAAAATGCAAATATACAGCCTAAACAAATAAAAATACAGAGAGATCCTTACTTTTATAAACAGCTCATTATTGTTCGCCATTAGAATAGAATTGGCAGTTATTCTAGGATCAGATGCAATACTGTTGAGACTACTGGATGAAGAACTACAGCTACTGCTAGAGCCTAAAATAAGACATAAAATACAATTAACTACATGAGAAATTATATTTTTAAATGAAAAAAAAAAAAAAAGCTGCAAAAATATCATTACTGACCTTTCACATGTTTTGTGGCATTTTCAATAGATTCTATTAGGGAACGCACAGAAAGCTGATTGGCTGCTCCTCTGTCACTCCTTTTATTGGATGTTATACTGGTGGTTATCGTAGGTGCCAATTGTCTATGAGATGGTGTGTTCAGATCTTTTTCCAAGTTTGCCTGAAAATGTATATATATATATACCTGTCAGTTTGTTTCTGTAAAATTTTACATTTTAATATTAACAATCATTACACCAATTTGCTAAATTTTATGCAAGATGATGAAAGGAAGTTAAAAAAGAGACAGAAAGAGAACAGCAGCAGACGACTTCAAATGGATTCAGTGATAGTGAAAGCATGAATATATGTATTGCATGTTTATATACAATTATGAAAGCAGGGTTCACTTTGGAATGCATTTCCCCCCTTCTTACTGCATTTCTATGTGGTGTTATTGGAGGCATGCCCGGCTAGTAACTGAAAGATCCAGAATTTGAATTCCAGCAATGGTATCATTAATATTTTGTTTTTCCTATTCCAAAATATCTAATGTCTCTACAACTTTACTCATGTTTACCAAATAATTACAGAATTCAACCTTGATCTTTATACTGGCTGACTCTGAGCATACTATGAGTAGAATAAGTAATCACACGCCCTCAAAACAGAAAATATTTTAATCATCCCATATGCAATTTCATTTATAATTAAAGGCTTTAAAAATAAAACTATCCATTTTCTCTTTGATATTAAAACTGTGACATCACTGATGCTGCACTCAATTTTCCTAGAGAATAAAAAAAGGGGGGATCAGGATGAAAAATTAGTAAAAATATGAGAAAAATGAAGAATACTAAATAGAAATGTAGAATACTAATTATAAAAATAAAAATTACAAGTATATGTAAGATTTTTGTTGCCTAACTTTAATTTAGAAAAGTTGGATAACACTCCTTTTTAATTTGGTCATTTTTCACTTTTATCCTAAAAATAGTAATTGTAATAGTAAACCTCTCTAAATTGCACCATTTCAAAATTAATCCTTATATTATTATTCTTACATAATGCTAACAATGCAGGCACTCACATCAACCAATAATAATTTTAAATACTGTTAACTGAAACAACCAATCATATAAATCACATAATCACAAAATCTGAATCAAACCTTAATTTGAAAAGCATGTATTCCTTCTTTCACTCGTATGGCTCGCAAACTTACTATCCTATGCTACTCCTTTCATATATTCTCAAAAGAATAAACGTATCAATGTGACGTCAAGCAGTAATATTCATGGCAAGGATTGTTTCCTGTACCAGTTTAACTGTCTCTCTATTAAATATGTTTTATCAAGAATTAAAAAGCATTCAGTTTTCCATGAACTGGCTGTTGTCATTAACATCTATGATGTCAATATCTAAATTATTACATGCATATACATATATATTATAACCTAAAAAACCATGCGAAATAAAAAAATATAATAAACTATAACATCGATTTAATCATATATGGTTGTTTTTTCCTTGCTAACTTACGCACTCCCCCATAATGGGGAGGAAGCACATGAAAACACATATTAGAATACCTCACCAACATTACACTACACATATATTTTCAAAATGAATGCTGTGCAGGTACAAGTTAGCATCCCAGTTGTCTAAGAAATCATTAATGATACAAATCATAGCAATTTAATTAGTGAACCATTTGTCCACACAAAGTGTTAAAACACATACAGGTGTGATGAATGCAGAGTAATGAAGAATCTTGTCCTAAAGTATCTTGCAGAGGTTGGGTTCCACATGAATGGCTAACATAGTATAAATAGCATTTGTCTGACTGAAGGCAGTTAGGTTGTTTCTCCTTCCGCATAGCAAAAACTCACAATATACTACAGTCTTGACAGTTCACAAAAGAGTTCCAAAAGTTTTATATATGTGAGTCAAGTTTTGGATATGAATTAATCCATTTTACATTAATTCTCATTGGGAAAATTGTTTCGGTTGACAAACAGCCTTCAGAAAATGAATTTAATTCATGAAATGGATTTTACAGTATTTTTTCCAGCATATCCTCTTTATTGAGCCACTGTGTTATTTACTCTCCGTCCAAGCACTTATTTTCAATAGTCGTAAGGATATGATACAATACGAGAATATTAGCTTCATTTTGCTGGAGGGCAATGCATGTTTCCAGATGCTGCACCTGTTGCTGTTTCGGGAGTTCAAGTTAAATTTTAAAGGCATTTAAAAAGTTTCTTAACTTTATTTGATAACAGAGTTGCACAAAATCTAACTGCAATTAGATTATGCAATTACTTTGAAATTACAATTACATAGTAATTGCATAATCTACTGGTATATGCGAGAACACGTGAAAGTTTAATCAAGATCAACTGAAGAAGCTTTTAGAATAATTTTTGCAGACTCAAAGTCAGAATTATGGTTAAATTTCCATTTATGATTAGCTATCGAAAATTTGTGAATTCAAAGATGACATTCCATTATTAGAAATAACATTAATAGCATTGTCTTGCAACCATTTCATTTTTCTGTTAGTAATAAAATTGCACGGATTCTCCAAAAGTCCAATTTTCAAGTCATTTTTTTTGCCTATCATTAAAATCCATGGTTCGCTTTTTAGATTCCATTTCTGACTGTAATTCTTGGGGAATTTATAGCATATTGTGTCAGTGTGGTTTGAGATATATCAGCTAAACTAAAACAGCATAAAAGTTTTGTATCAAGGGGCATGAATCTTTTGTCTGAAAGGGTGAAATTAACAAGTCTTCGACAGCTAATCATAATTCTGACTTTGGATCTCTAAAAATTATTCAAAAATCTTCTTCAGTTGGTGAACTTGATTTTCTTGAAACTTTTCACATTTACGAAGATTTATCTTGTTTAGTTAATAATTTGAAGTCCAATCCAGTCCTTCCTCATGCTTTTAAAATTCTATTAACTTAATTTTTGAATTTTGTTACTATTTTTACAAACAGCACTATCTTCTTATTCACTGCACCGCCATACGGTATAAATATGACTGTTGTGCCACTGCTTTTCAGTCTTGCAGATTTTTTTGCTTGTTAGGAAGAGGAAATTGTACCTATTTGTCCTCGAAATTGATCGAGATCTTGACTAAATCTACACCAAACACAAGGTTGTTGCTTTGTTGATTTTATGCAAGATCTTACATTGCGTATATTGGCAACATCTTCCAACAGCTGGTTCTAGATTGTTATTTCATCCATCAATTTCAGAGGCATGATCATGTCGTGAATTTTATTTCAGAAGGACAATATTTTATATCGTAGGTAAAAATAATGTGCTCCCATAAGGTGTCATATAATGCCAATTATATGACATTAAGTACTAATAAATTTAATTTTAATTACACTGTAATTCTAGTTAATGCACATACACTATAATTAAACGGCAGCTATAATTTTATTGTAGGTGTAACTGTAATTACAAATCTCACAATTAAAATTACACTGTAACTGAATTAACTGCAATTGCATTATAATCATAATTGCATTGTAATTGAACAATTTCAAATTACAATTACAGTATAATTGAATTACTTACATTTGCAATTGCACTGTAATTCAATTACTAAATCATACTATAATTGAATTATGCCAACTCTGCCTGGATGCTATGGATAATTGTCTACCAGGTGTCTGAAGACTAAGGCTTACGCTATGACAAATGCAAATTGAACTCGCATAATACATATATTGGAATTTCCCCTACTTTCTGCCTTAACTGTATCGTATCACCCACATTTAGAATTATCAACTCCTGACGTTTGCTGAATGTCAGCAATAGAATTGAAATTGACTTTGAAAAATAATCTGCAAATATTTCCATCATTTGTTATGCCACATCCTACATGTTTATTGACACTGGCAACTTTTTGAACAAATTGTGTCTAAACTTGAATTCGTGCAAAATTATTAATCTTTGGAACTTCTCCTTAATCATGTCACAAACTGCTCTGCTGATTGAAATACCTTTTTCAATACGTGAACTTTCCAGGAGTCTTTGGCAATTTCTGCTACAATGTGTCTTCAGTAATAAATTCCTGCAACTGAGCTCTGATGTAATTGGCTAATAATTATGAAACAATGCAGTGTATTTATTTGGATTGATAAAATTATTTTAAAAAAGATGAATTATACATTAATAAAATTTTAGCCACTGCATTTGACGAAAAGTATATTTATTGGAGCAATTTACTCCAAAATTACCTTTACTTGTATGAAAACACTGATTTCTAAAAAATTGCTGAATTATACTGAATGAATTTATTTTGCATAATAAATATAGCATAACATACAAATACAAAACAAAAATCTGAATATGTACATTACAAAATTATATTACAAAACAGACAAAACTGAAATACAACGTTATGACCAAATTGTAGAAAAAATACGAGTACTTGAGAAACAAATGCAGATTTTTGATGCAAACAGGCAAGGTGCATAAACATATGACAAGGGAATTTCATGCTTTTGTTGCGGTAATTTATTAGAATTTCTTACAATCCTGAAACATCTAAGAAGATATTTTTGCTGTGAAATAGCATTTCTAAGGATTACCTGCAAGCTCTCTGTGAGTCTCAAATTAAGCTATTTATCAGTTTATTCACTCAATATTGTAGGTTTCAAGAAATATGTAAATCAACTTGGACATACATTATCATACATACAAAGAAAGTCAGAGCCCTAGGTATCTTTAAAAAGTCTTGCACAAGGTAGTAAGGCTTTATTTTGATAGTGATGAGCAGATATATATCCTCTTTCAAACATGTGAAGAGGAGTACTTCCACTGTTCATTAATCTTTCACATATCATCTTTTATGTATTTTATGACTAGAGTAGCAATTTTTTTGTAGGAGGCGGGAGAATGTCAAAATTCAAAGGGAAATTAGTAAAAAAAAAAAAAAAAAACTTTACAGCCTGGGACTTATACACAGAAATTTCATGGTGAATTTACACTAACATTTCATGAAGGAGGATGGTATTTACCCTATAGAAAGTAGCAACTAATGTCTAATTAAATAATAAATATATAAGTTTTTAAATTGAAATTTAAATTTCTGCGAACATTGTTATTTTAGTTATATTTCTTTAAAAATATTAAACATAACTCTTCAAAATTACATAGCTTCCAATCTTAAAATTTGAAATTTCACACTGTTTGGCAACAGGATTTCAAAAGAATCTAAACTGATTTTAAATTTGTTTTATAATGCACGATTCAGGTTACTGAATTTATGTGAATTTAATGCAAAATATATTAATATTTAATCTGATAATTTAAACTTTATGTACTTTTTTACTAATTTTATTTATTTTTTTAAACTTTTATGTTGACACAGTTGTGAGTAAGGCAGAAAAGCTTTCATTTATCAAAGCACTTTCCAATATGATGACAATAAAATTAATAACTAATGTCAAATAGTTTAACAACTAACTGCAAACTTGAAACACTATGGTACCTGCTGACAAATACAGTAAAAAATAAATAAATCTCTTCATTCCACTCGAACTTGAACATGTACGCAGATTCAATATAAGAAACTAATTTTTGTACTCTTCTTTGCTTAACACCTTGTACAGTCATATCAGTTGTTCCAGTTTGCTCCATAGTTTGATGGATGAAAAGACAATGAAAATGGAGGCTAAAAATTTAAAGCCGGGTGATTTGAAAGAGAAATACTCTGAAATGCATTTTAATGGAAAACAGTATAAAATTTTATTTATTTAAGTCTAAAAATAACATACAAATTCAAAAATAATAAGACGAAAAATCCAAAATTTGTGAATTCATAAGACATTTATAGAAAAATATACTTGCAAATTTTTGGAAAAATTTTCTGAAATTTAAAAAAAAAAAAAAAAAAAAAAAAAAAAAAAAAAAAAAAAAAATAATAATAATAATAATAATAACAAATATTTCAGTTCTCTAGCCATAGTTCATATTCTCTATTATTGGTGGGAAATATTCCTGTTCTAATACATTTCAGATGTAAGCATGTTTTGAATTGGACTTTATGCTAAACCTTGACTCGACAATGACAGAAATACATCCACTGCTTTAGACTCCAGCTCCTTCTAAATATATTTGGTTATAATATGAAAATTTCAGTAGCAACTGCAAGTTTTGAGCAGAGTTACCTAGCAGCAAAGTTCCAATTGTGACAGGAGATATATACCAAATCTCAATGTCACGGTGCAGATTTTTAGACTGCCTAATTAAAGAGATTATACTATATATTTATAATATATAAAAGCAAAACATACCTTTAATGCTTCAATTTCAGATTCCAAACTTGAATTTTTTTCACACAGCTGCTTGTTTTCTTCAGTCAATTTTTCAACACTTTGCTGAGCTTCATTTTTAAAATCATTCGCAACTCTGACTGTAGTTAGGAGGTCTGCCTGGAATTTGTGCCACTCGTCAATCTTTAAAGAGGAGATGGAAAATACTATAGTAAATTTATTTTCTTTATAACATACGAGAATAAGTAGACACATACATATGCATATTTTAATAATAGAGGAGGAAATACATTTCTGTTTATAACACTTATAAATCTAAACAACTTAAAAACAGTTAAATCAAAATTACCCAGCATAACAAAACTCAGTGGTGGGCTAATAATACAATTTACAGATTATTGGTCATTAAATCAAAACTGCATTTTATTGCTACTCAACTAGTAGAGAAACATGTAAATGAGAAATTTAAAACCAGGCCTTAGATAGGTGCAGATTTTGAGTAAATCTCTATCAATTTTTTAGAGTGATCTGACAAATTTTCCATAAGAAGCAACAAATTTTTGCTTCTGAAGATGAGATACCTATGTCTTACCTCCCTTGAAATCGACAGAGTTTCATTCAAAATCTATGCTAATCTAAGGTTATATATTTTTTTTTTACCTAATCTTAAATTTTAGTACAAAAATAGCATTATAAGACAGGTACAGAAATATTACACTTGACCATGAAACTTGGCAGAAATACTGCCAAAGTTGCACCGGCCATTCCTATAGAATTCTGAAGAAACTAATGCTTCTTTATTTAATAAACAATCAGCATTCTATCAGCTTCATTACTGTGCTTTGTAAAAAGGCTTTCATCAATTTCTACTGTTTTGTTAGAGAGTTTTTTTTTTTTTTACCAGAATTTTTTATTAGAGTTTTCTGTTTGTATGTGTACAAACTTTCCACAGATGATTGTTCCAATTTATTATTAGGATGGACTGCCCAGTAAGAAAAATTTAAGAATACTGCACACTGTGTGGCACATTCCTTGCTCGCTAGTTCCTGAGGAAGAGTGCTCTGTGCCCCATGAAGGATGTTGCCACAGTATAGTAGTGTGACAGAGGAATACCTATAAATCCATAGGTGAAGTTCTGATGTTCCGTCCCACTTTTCCCTGTCCCTGTTTTGTCAGCCATATTCAGCTGATTATATCATGTCCATCAACATACACTTTTTTTAAAGGTAGGATCTCATAACTTCAAAAATAATGTACAGGTTGCTGTTTTTAAAAAGAGGGTCCAAAATTTTAATCATTTTTTCAAAATGCAAAATACAGCAATAGCAGTTCATTTATATCCTTATTCATAAAAACATAAAGTGGCTTATCTGGAATCAACCAAGTTACACCAAACAAAAGTGCAGCTGTTATGAGTATGTTGTTAAGTCAAGCTTATCTATAACTGGCATTAAATTGCACTGCTGGGCGATTCTTTCACAGCCGACAGGAAGTATCAAAAGTCATTTATTTTATTACAAAAGCAATATTGTAAATAATATTATATATTTTATCATTTCATTGAGAAATATATATGTTTATTGCTGACAGTTAAAAACATGATTTAGAAAGGGAAAAAATTCACAGTAAATAATACATAGTCTGTAAATAATCTTACGAAAGAGCTACTTAATGAGCTTAATTTTTCACATGGCTTCCTACGAATAACACATTTTGGTGATATATAACATTTTTTGTAATATATCATATAAGTAACTGTATTTGAGGTCATCTGAGGAAATGTGAATCTGTTCATAAAATTTCTACATTATAATTCAAAATTAACCATTTAACTTCAAGTTTTATTAATTTATTTTGCACTTTTTTAATCCATTATTAATTGAAGTGAAAAAATAATGATCACAATGGAAAAAGTTCTTGACATGACAATTCTAAACTCTTATTGGGGATATTACTTATTTGAGAACTTTCATGTCTAGCTATACATTCTTTCACTCATGAATTCCTCAAGTATTATTTTAAATTTAACTGTTTTAATGTTTTGTTGCCTCTAATCGAGGCATTTGAAAGAACTCAGAAGTGAACCAAAGCAATAATTTAGAATAAATTATAAATAATAATAAGTTATTTTTTCTTTGAAAGAATTAATTTTAGAAATCAATTCTACTTAGGTAACAAATAAAATACATATGCATGCATAATCTAAGAAAAAATTAATTTAAACAATTTTTCAAAAATTTAATTAATAAACAATTGTTTGACAGACATTAATTTTGCAAGCGTAAAACATGCAAGAAAAATTTATTGGGAAACAGAGACAAATTCTTTTACTTTATAGTCTTACTTCCCCCCCTAAAAAAAATGTCTGAAATGTTATTTTAACTCAAAATGAATAAATAAACTGGGGGCAAGACTGAATTTCCGAAATGTAGGTAGAATCAACTATTTGTTCTACATATATAAATATTCTATTCCCTAAGAATGGTTCTGAAGGTATTTTCTGATTATCTGCCCAACTCTTTCGAAAAGTTGTACGTAGTTTGTAATTGACATCATTGACAATTTTTTACCAACCTAAGATGCAAAAGACAACAACCATTTTCAAAAACGGTGGGAAACCAAGTATTACATAAAATAGCAATCAATTAATAAAACAAAAAGAACCCCCTCCTCTTCTAATATACACAGTGATCTGTTTTAGCTTCAAAACACATCAGAAAATCATACAAACTTGGCATCGCACACACTGTTGTTTCCTTATGTACACAACCTGTTTTCCTTAAAGAAACATCACAGAACTGCACAAATTTGGAAATGCAGATGCTGTTCTTTTCCCATGTGCACAGTAATCTGTTTTCACTTTAAAAAAAATCTGATGTGTACACCACATGACTTCCTTGTACGGAATATTAAATTATACGCATTTTTCCTTGCATTTCATTTAAACTTATTAGATTGAATTAAACCTACTTTGCCGACAGCGCATAAACCACAATAGAATAAATGCATTCTTTAAAATTCACTTTGTTTACCATAACGACACTCTTGCGCTAGGTTTACTTAACAGTATTATATTTCGTTCATATTATAACTCAGAATGCACAAAATTTATACCATTTAAAGAATTATCTAATTGTTGCCACATGTTCTATTCAAATACTATAATAAAGCTAAAATGATGTATAAAAGAAATTAAGCAAACAAAACAAAAAAGAAACAGTTTTTCACAGACGATTGAGTATTTCTCATTCAATTAATTCCGTTCTCACTTCGCGAGAAGGCAAAAATACATAAAAACACAAAATATCCTATCATTAAAAATTAAAAAATGAAGTCAATCTTAAGGGATAACTTTATTATCCTTAAAAAAATTCGAGAATGGATTAAGCATGAATTTAATTCGCAGTAATAAAAGAAGACATTATCTTTGTTGTCGCGAAACTAAGTTTCTCTAGATTGGTAACAATCCACTAGTTCTGCTAAGTTTCAAATGTAAACAAACAATAGCTGCCATAAAAAAAAAAAAAAAAAGGCTTAGCAGGCACTTAAACAACTTTTAAAATTGTTGATAATTCTAAAAATATTGCACATGCAGGTTTAACTAAAGACATAAAATCCCTTAACCGGACGATAGAGAATAGCATAATTCCTATCATTTTTAAAGCAAAAAATGCACAATTTACAAACATATAAGATTAAAAACTGAGATCACTGAGCCAGGTAACAGAGTGGATATATATATAAATATATTTATATACGTTTGGTGTGACCGATTGCAACCAAAATACGAGGTGCACATCTACATGTTATAGCAGTCCAATATACAAAATTTCAACGTTCTGAGGCTACTTGTTTTTGAGTTATGCGAGATACGTACGTACGTATGTTCGTACAAACACCACGAAAATTCTCTTTAGAATTAATTTTAAAGCAGTTTCATAATTTTTTTTGAAGGAAAAGAGTATTTTATTCTGTCCTTACGTACAGATATCATGCAAAAACATCGTTAAATTGCATTCGATAGCGGTCAAAATGGATATTTTCGTTGAAATATGCTGCCTAAAACTTTTCGCGATTACAATACTTCCTTTTTACTTCGTACAAGGAAGTAAAAAAAAAAAAAAAAATTCACAAATTGTGACATAGGTGTACAAATTCATCATTTACGAAGTACAACTTAATAGATTACAAATTTTGGCATTCCCTACACGTTTAGCAAGACGCCATATTTCTGAAGAAATGGAATGCTTTCTTTTCTATCAGCCAGCAAACTCCACAGTCCCATTACAATTCCTCACAAGGAACAAAACTGAACAAATTCATCAAATAATAACCAGAAAGTTCAAATAATAACCTATTGAATTTGAAAAGCCAGTGTGTTGTGTGCACACCTGAAGTTGCCACATAAATACTTTTTCATTGCATTTTGGGGTGCCAGTCTTGGAAAATAGTGTATTGCTTCAGGAATTATTTTCAGAGTTAACCAGAAACTACCAATTTTAATTTAATAGCGCTTTTAATATCATACACAATATCACTCTACTCACTCAGATAAAATTTCTCAATTTTACACAGGTTTTTATGTTTTCAATGGTTTTTAGATGTTAGGGAAGATGAAATAAGCAAACTGACAAAAGGTATATAAAATAACTATTAAAATAATTTTCAAACTATTAAATCAAATTTCTAATACTTAAAAGATGGATTAAAAAAGGTACAGACTGGGAAAAAAAAAAGAAAAATAGATAAGAAGCTTTAAAAATATGCAATAAATTTGCAAAAGTTTCATGAAGATTATATTTTTAAGTTACATAACAATGAAAACATACTTCTGCATTATGCTTTTTCTTTAGCTCTTCTACTTCTTTCTGAGCTTGATTAAGCTGTGCCGTAGTTTCATTTACAACTTTTTGTAGTTCTCCAATGGAAGCCTTTAATTCTCTTTTGTCTTCCAAGTGATGCTGACACTTGAGTTTTAATTGCTGGAGCGCATCCTCCAAAGCACTCATTTCTTGACTCATCTGCTCTTTTTCTGACATTATCTGTTGTACGTGGTATTCCATGTCTGTAATTTGCTTGTGAGCATTATTTTTTGCAACCTATAAAAATAAAAATAAAATAATATTTTAAATTCATGGTTTTCATCAACCATCTGACATTACTTAAATTTTTAAATTACTGCAGTATACTCTTTCCACACTTTTTTTCATAAAAAGCAGGTAAAAATCAGGGATGGGACTTATACAAACAAATAATTAGAAATAGCTTTACATAAATGTATGGAAACACAGCAACATGTGCAACATAGCAGCACACATTTAAGGATTAAGTTTAAAATTCACTGTTGTTGGATGAATGTTACATAAGAGTGTACAAATTTAATTGTAGTTGCAAGTCTTGGTGACATGCTGGGGATACCAGTACCATTGGCAGTGATATTGGTAATGCAGGCAACTACTCTAGTGGTACCAACAGTAACAGTGAATGAGATGTGCTAAACATACAAACATGTTCCTTTTGACCGATAATAAAAATTCTGTCTTATTTTATATGTACCATTTTCATTTTAACTGCTTTCATACTTCCAAATGAAAAAAACTTTGAAGAAAGTAGACTTATTCCACACCCAAAAAAAAATTAAATTAGAGGCAAAAGTTAAGCATGTAGCTTATACACATGAGAATAAGGTAAATTACTACTGAAGTCACTGGGATATGATATCATAATTTAATAAAAGATCATAAATTACTAATAAGCATGAAAAAGCTGAATTCATAGCAATTAATATTGCACAGTATTCATAACAATTAATACAGTACAAAGTCTGTAATCCGGACTTGTCGGGACTTCGGCAATTTCGGATTAGGGGTTTTCCTGGATTATAGATCATCAATTTAAATTTGGTAAGATGGCATGCAGAAATTATACAATTAAAAATATTAAACCATAATTTATGAAATAAAGAGCAATTATGATCTAAAGGGTATCAAAATTTGAAGGAAAAAAAAAAAAAAAAAAAGCTTAATATTTATTTGTTTACTTTATTAAACATTTCTTTCAATGTAAGTTGTTTAAGTTGCTTCGTTTTTTGTGCTAATACTTTCTCTTTAATTCTATAAGCAGACATAATTTCTTGTTCAGTTACAAAGTTCCACTGTTCAAGTCCTGTAATTGCTGTGTCGAGAATACCAACGCTTTACGCGCATGCGCAGCAGACGCGTGCATTAAACACACATGCGTAAGTTTGTGGCTTTGAGGTTCAGATAATAGATCATTCCGGATAATGGATGTCTGGATTACGGACTTTGTTCTGTATAGCACATGAAAAAGCTGAATTCATAGCAATTAATATTGCACAGTATTCTAATTTATTTTTCTTTTGACATACTTGGGGTAAGCTAAACTAAACTAACTGAGATGTGTGTTTAAATAATACGTCGAATCAAAATATAACTATTCCAATGTGCTATAAAATCTAGTTATATGTGTTTTTGCAATGCAGCACACTTTTCACGAAATATTCCTACTATACGTTACTACCAATAGTGCTCCTAGCATTAGTAATATTTTGTGAGGTTCGGCAGCTGCTTCACGTTTTTAATAATAATATGAGTATTGAGAATAAACATAGAAGCACTCAGCAAAAAAAATTAAAGATCAGAGATTGGGGATTAGCAAAATTTTTAGAATTTAGTTTCCATAGAGGACCAATTCAGGACCCATAGAGATTGCGTTGGGTGGCAAAATGCCTACCCTTGCATACTGTGCAGTAATAATATACGAATAATCTTTTAACAGGGTTCGTACACATTTCCGCACATGGAAATTAAGTACTTTTAAGGACTTTTAAGGACCATTAATGAAAACAATTAAGGACCTATGAGCAAATGGGAACTGAATAAATTCACTTGAAGATATTATCTATGCCTGAATATCCTTTTTGCAATACCATCCTAAAAATAAAATAGATCCCTAAGTAAGTACGCATTATTGCTAAACATGAATTAATTAACATTATTGTGAATAAGTTTGAGAATAAAATAAACTTTATGCAATTTATGAAGTAGGATTAAATATTTTACACTTATGATAGTTGGTCAAATTTGAAAGAAGGTAAGTGACATTGACGTTTTACTAACAATTAGCATTATGTTGATTCTTTTTTATGTCTTATTTTGTTACATACTTGGTCAGTCTAGAGGTTTAGTAAATAAGCAGATAGATTTTTATGTCAAACTGCATAGGTTAAAATAAGAAGTAAAAATCATAATCAGCATGATTCATAACAAAAGACTGAATATTGTCACCGCTGCTGCTTGTCTAGAGAGAAACCTGCTGATTAGAACAAACCTGAAAGGCCTGATGTAGGCAAGTGTTGAAAGTTAGTCAGGTTCTGTTTGATGAAGTTAGTGTCGTAGCTTCGTGTACAGTTCCAGAGGTTATAACCCAGTTAATATACTTTAAGGTTTCAATAAGCCATTAAAGCACCAGAGGTGATAAGTTGTTTTGTATTATTTTAAGTAGATGCATAGAATATGTTTTACTTGAATTTTTACATTTTTATAATTTATCTTGTGACCACAGTGAGTATTAATGAAAGGCAATAACTCGCTTTAATATGTAGAGATAATTTTTAAGGGTAAGCAGTTAGATATAAATAATTAAATTAGGTAGTTTGATAACCTTAGTCATTATGGATTTACATGACCACTATTAAATTTTATTTTTAAACAATATTTGTTAAAAAAGCTCTATTTAAATCAAAATCTAATAAAATTTCACAGTTTAAAGCATATGTAATTTATGACCCAGATTCTTAAACGACATTAAGGTAATTAATTACGCATTAAAAGCTACAGAACATTTATGTTTTGTAACAACAGCAGTTAACAAAATATTTATTCATCATTTTAATTTGAAGCCTTCCCAGACATTTTGGCTAGTGTATATCGATTTCCTTCTCTTTAAGCATCTTTTCTAACAATTAGAGATTTGTCTCAAAATGCAAATCAATGCTCTTACTAGTTTCTGCGTCTTTATCTTGTCAACCTCTCCACAATGTACCTATGAGGGTTTCATTGATCTGGTAAAAGTTAAAAAATCCAAAACGCCCGACAGACATGAAGCATATTATCGCTATGTCTGAAATTAACTACAATACCAGAAAAAGGTTTAAATAAGCCTCTTATTTAAAAAGAGCTTAGAACATAAAGGCATGTTCTGATGCTAACAAAATCAATTACAGCTCACGGTGACATAATTAAACAAGAACAGTCAAATTCAAACTAATAATGTGGACTAGTGGTCAAAAATTATACAATTTAATTTAAATTTAATCTCACTCAATAACTTTATCATATGAGGAAATAGAAATGGGGAATTAGAGTAAAGGTTGAAATCATAAACAATTGGGTAATTTACATAATAATAACTGCACATATCTTTGAAGAATAATTTCCTTTATGTACTCAGTTTCTTTCTTCAACACGTTTCCTTTTCATCTTAGAAATTTTGGATTTAATTAAGGATTTCCGTTATTCTAAAAAACACTAAATGCATAAAAATGTACAGAAAAGCGGCTAATTTTATTTTTTTAGTAATATGAACATTCAGAAGCAATATGAAATATATATAGTAAAGGATGGTTACAGAGCTGATTGGCAGAATTTCTAGAATTTAGTCACACCGAACAAAAATCTAAAAATGGCAAAACTTTTAAATTTAGAGCAGCACGGAAGACTTTAGGCAACAGAAGTTAGGATCCACAGACATTGCATCAGGTGGGAAAATGCCTATGGCAGCTATGTGTATGATGCATTAAGAAATATAGATGAATCTTTTAAATTGTAAGTTTTCAATTTCTTTATTAATAAAAAATTCCCTTTCTATAATGCCTTCCCATGTAATAAAATCAGAAGCATTTTTATATTTCCATGCCATGTCTAGTGAAAGTAGAGAAAATAAAGAGAAGACAAATATGTTAAGATTCTAGTATCAGAAGTAAAACATTTATATATTATGTTTTCGTTGTTCCCAGATGGTTCTCCAAAAATTAAGAAATTCATTGCAAACTCTTTGTAAAATACATCCATTACACGTTGATACCATGGAGATATTTTCATTTTGTCATATATTTCTCGAATCTTCTAAAATCGTGAGTCTATAAATCTTGCCTTCAATCCTTCTAACTTTCCAAGCTGCAATGTGTAAATCGTAAAGAAAAATTATCCCTACCAATTCTGTAACAGCAAAAGCCAAAATGTTTTGGGAAAAAATAGGAGGGAAAAATATAAAATTATTTTATAGAGAAAACTGATGCACATTCGAGAATTTTGAATATTCTAAGACAATTACATTGGATTGCTCTTACTAGAAAAATTAAAAACATTTTTTTAATTAATTACAGGCTAAATTTGCTTTTGCTAAGAGCTGTTTCGTAAATTGGGTTTATAGCATTATACCTTGTTTATTTTCAGATTTAAATATTGTATAATAAGTTGCCAAAATGAAACTTTATAATATTACAGCGAAAAAAAATCTTATTTTAATGTTATTTTTTAAATATAATTCAATATATTACCATTATTTAATGAAATTTATTATGTTACAATGTTTTAAAAAAAAAAATTGTCGAAAATTCTCAGACCTCGGAATAAAAAGTTTCTATAGAAACTAATCTTAAAATCGCCAAAATGTTGAAAAGTCGCCAAATTAGAACCATTTAATAAAAGAATTCACACCCCCCCCAAAAAGCGAAAAAGCGAGAAAGTTTTTAAAAAATGTTCAAGGCTAAATTTTGAAACACTTATAAGATCATAGAAACAAATTATAACATTTAAATGAAAAGATAACTCAAACCCATCAATATTCAAAAAGAATAAAAATAATTCACAAAAATACAGTCTCAAAACATACACAGAAATGAATTTCAGATTATTACATTAAGAGCTCAGATAAAAAACGACGGAAAAAAAAAATTCCCAGAAAAAAAAACGAAGGACTCGTATCCGTCTAAGGTGAAGGACTTTATTCTTTTGAGAACCAGTCTTCCTGCTGATTTATAGTCGATCCAAATAATAAGGACTTTTAAGGACTCTTA